AGAATGCACAAACAAATATTTTTACTTACATCAATGCATATATTTTTTTTATTTACATGATTAAAAATGCATTATATGTTATATATATATATATATGTGTGTGTGTGTGTGTGTGTGTGTGTGTGTGTATGTGTGATAACCGGGTTCTAGTTATATAATTTGAGGTAATTATTATTTGATTACGTGATTAACTGTTTATAAATAAATTAAGGTGCATGTATATATGAAAATGTGAATATGTGTATATGCATGCATGTAAATATAGTGTGAGGGGGAAACCGTCTTCTTAAGGCAAGATATTTAAAGGAGAAATTTTGAGAAGGATATTCTACCTGCTATTTGTAGAAAGAAACTGAGAAAAGAGAATTCTGTGTGTTTGTCTAAGTTGTGAAGTTGAAGTTGTGATCAATTTGGAAGTTGATTTCTGTGTGTGATTTCATCTTCAAATTCCTTGCTTTATAAGGTGAGTTTTTACAGCAGTCTTTGAATTCAAATACATTGCTACTGTTAAAATTCTGTTTTTTCATGTTATTAAGAACTTATGAGCAGATATGTACCAATTAACAGCTATGTTCTTCGAGTTTTAATGGTATATGAATATCATAATACATGTTTCAGTTTTTGTTTGTCTAGAATATTGGGTTCAATCAATAGCAAGGGGCGATTTGAAGGTGCTCGACCACGATAGAAACCCTTTCCTGTTCCAAGTCAAATTAAACCAAATAACCAAAAAACAAGCATTCAATTTATCTTCCATATTTATCGAATCAAATATTACTATATTTGTTAGCCATTAACAAACACCTTGATCACCTTTTATTTATTTATTATATATATATATATATATATATATATATCACTGCATTCTCCAATCTAAAATAGATCCATGTATTGAGAACATGATGCTACCGGACATATTATTTTCCCACATACTACCAAGGCTGCCGGCCAAATCCCTACACCGTTTTCTTTAACAACACCAATGTTTGTGGAGATGCATCACCACCACCACAACCTTCTTCTTATCCTCTTGTCCGAAACAACCCCGGGCAAGTTTCAAACCATCGATCTCAAATCACTTGGAGACGGTCTAAGTAGTACTGTCAGCCGTACTTTGCCATTCAGTCATGAAAACATGTCGATTCTAGCATCTGTACGTGGATTGGTATCTGTACGCATAAATAACAAATGCAACGACACGGAATACTCTGATCTAATTTTATGGAATCTTTTAACGGACCAATATAAGACCTTGTCTAGATCCACCAACGAAAAATGCCACGTGACCAACGCAATAGTATTTGGGTTGTATTACAGTTGTAACGACTACAAGCTTCTACTTGCAACCAACAATCACGACGTTTTTTATATACTTTTTGAAATCCAACTCATGGAGAAAGGTGGAGACGATACAAGAGGACTTCAAATATCATTTTACCCCCTATTGGGTTGCGGAATGTTGGAAGCAGCCATGTGTTTTGTTGAATGAAAAACTGTATTTTATAGTTAATCGATACAAGAGGAAATCAAGAAGCTTTAGCCATTCAGTTATAAGGTTTGATTTGAAGACGGATAAGTTGAGAAAGTTATCAGGTCCCCAAACGAGTACTGAAGAAGTTACCTAGACAATCTCGGGACCAGTTAACTACCTTATCGCTTGCTGAAAAAAGTGATTATATTATAATTTTTTTGTAACAAGAAAACCAATTAACGGTTATGTTCTTCGAGTTGTAGTGGTATATGAGAATCATAATACGTGTTTCAATTTTTGTTTGTCTGGTATTTTAGTTGGTTGTTGAACGTTAGACTTTATGCATGAATAGTGGTATGATTGTGTTATTATTCTCAAGGACCAATTAACAACAATATTATTAACCTTATCATCCACAATTTACTGTTGCTATGAAATTACCCTGGCCAATCTTCATATACGATTATAATCCTCGTAACTATATATCTATATATAAAGGAGATCACCATTTTCATACCTCTACATGCCATTTCTTTATCTTGTCAAGGTTTAATAGAGATTAAATGTAAGAACAATAGTTGTTTACGATATTAAATAAGAGGTTTGTGAATCCTCTACAACGATTACAACTCAACCTCATCGATTGGATCAAAACTTAGAGACACGTTTACTTACGAATACTAAAAATTGTCGTATCTAAAATATCGTCTGCTTTCATTTTCTTAAGGTCTGTAGATAGTAAAATGGTCCCATATTGTATACTATAATGCATTATCTCATGATAATATAATATGATAAAATGATATATCAATAACACAAATTAAAAACAAAAATGAAACGTAATAACCTTATCAGATTTGTTTATATAGCTATAAGATATTATAATAAACAATAAATTATGGGCATTTGACACGTAACTCAGTTGGTAAATTGGTGGCGCGACTTTACTCAAATACAAGACACTTCCAGGGTTCAATCCCCATCCCGACCCCTCCACCTTTGGCTAGCTTCAATAGATGAGTGAGTCGAAAAATGCCCCTCATGTTAGTTATCTTGGAGGCGAGTTCTGTGTGGAACGGGTTGGAGTTGTTTGATAGTAAACTTTTTACTTAAATAAACAATAAGCTATGAGTTTTATGTTTAGTAGATTACAAAATTGTGTGAATATGCGGGTACGTAAACATATATATACATATATATATATATATGTGTGTGTGTTGTATATATATATGTATGTATGTATATATATTTTAATTTAGAGGGGGGAGGCCCCTTCTATCAAGAGAAAAAACCAAAAACGCTAAAAAGCAAACAAGTTACGCGCTCGGATGAGGGCGAACCACATCCACCAGAAAAGAACCAAGGCTTCCCGAGGGGAAAGAAAGGAAGAAAAAAGGGGGAGAGGAGAGAGAGACCAACCACTAGGGAAGGTTACAGGCAAGCCGAGCCCGAACAACATTCGGGGAGAGCTTAATGGTCAAGCTAAGAAGCCTGGACCGGACATCATCAGTAATGGTCTTAACCCCCATATTGTGTGATCTCCTCTTATTCTTGAAGATACGATAATTTCTTTCCTGCGAGAGGTGGTAGACGGTCTTGCCTTTGGTGGCTTGCTGGAAGATACTAATGATAGCAACCCAATTATCTAGGACAACAGGGATGTTGAGCTTAGGCTTAAGATCATTCCAAACCTGATTAGGATATAGACACTAGAAAAAAAATGTTCATGAGAATCAGACTTATTTTGACAGAAAAGATGTTGATGTATGTATATATATATGTGTGTGTATGTATATATGTGTATACAAATGTATGTATGTATATATATGTATATATATATATATATATATATATGTATGTCTATAGGGTTGAATTTATGTGAAATCAGATTGTTTTTATGAGAGCCGTGACACCACTTTTTCACACTTGAAACTTCACAGCAAAACACTGTGAAGATAAAAAAAATTTAAACCTTCATAGCAAAAACATTGTAAAGGTTGGGGTCACGTGAGACCAACATATTTTCGTAAGACTCGTGATCCCAAATCTATATATATACACATAAATTACATTTGAGAATATATATATACACATACATCTCTATGTATATAAGGCCGGCCGGCCCCGGCCGATGAGCATAGGGAATCTATACTCGAGCGTTCACAGTACAATCTCTCTTCCAATAAGATAGAAGTAAGGAAGGTTTTTTATTTTGACTTGGTTGGATCACATCAAAGACCAAAACTAAAGTATACTCCCTCGAAGATAATGTATTGTGATTTTAAACGATGAAATTTCAATTCCTTAGGTTTTAACATGAAAACTCACTTCCTTTTCGTCCCATCTATTGATATTATTATTCTACCTTTACATGTACCTATAATCCATTTCACTCATAACCTTCGCTATTGTTCCTATCTCACATTTTGTTTTACTATTCTCATGTTTATGTATTTAGACAAGAAATTGATTATCAACAATCTTAACCGGTCTCACACGGAATCTGCCTACAAGGACATTAATATAAAGAGGCATTTTCTGACTCACTGAATAGTTACGGCCACCCAGCGGAGGGCATGTATTTTATTTTAAATATGTTAAATTATTTTATTGTAAAATTTTAATTTTACATAGCATTTAAAAATAAATAAACAGTTCTTTATAAAACCATGATAGTTTGTAATATTAGATTCTTATTTTAGTGAATCAACTTCCACTAGAATCATGTTAGGGTTGTTTGGCAGTTATTGAATGGTTTTATGCAGAATGATTAAGAGACTTTTATAATATAGTACAAAATGAAATATAATTGTTTCATTAAGAGTGTTTTAGAACCATTAAGAGACAAGACTTTTTGACCTAACAAGATTCAAGAATCTTGGTGATTCAGAGGTTACCTCTTAACGAAACTATAAAAAGATAAACAAACAACCCCCTTAATTGGTTGTCAAATCCTTAAATATATGTAAATTTCATTTCTTGTTCTAAAATAACAATTTTAAAGGTCGATTCTTTAAAATAGGAATCAAAGTGAAGAGAATTGGTTGCATGTTGATGTAATTTTCTTCTTTATAAGGAGAGAGACTTGATGAAAACTATCATCCATGTTATATAGAGATGGATTATTATACAATCCCTTATATTTATACAACTAATACAACTCAATCTTAACCGATCATTTAATTTGATGAATATGTAATTTCATAAGAATTTTGATTGTTTCCTAATATAAAATATTGATCATAATTAATGAACATTATTCATCTTTCATAAATATTTAAATCATAATAAATAAACTGTCATCATTTCTATAAATATTTCAATTTATTAGGTTGCGTTAGTTATATAAATACGTTGAATTGCACTCGAAACAAACTCTCTTTATATATATTGTTTCTTGCTTAGAAGAGAGCCCAAAATTTCTAAAATATTACACGTGTTTGGAGATGGTAACTGGAATGGAGACAAATTCCAGTGCAATCGAAAGAGTAAATTGAACACAGACAAATCCCAATTCCCAACTACATTACTTGTGATTTTTACCAAAAAAAGAAAATGTCTAAAACCGATAACTTCAATGTATTACTGTATAAAAGACGCAACGCAAACCAGACTCGATCAGCTTATCATTATCGCTTACACCACCAGCAATGGATGCTACCGACTCCAATGGTAGAAGTAAGCAGCTTCATGTAGCTATGTTTCCATGGCTTGCTTTCGGCCATATCATCCCTTTCCTTGACCTTTCCAAATTTATAGCCCAAAAGGGTCACAGAGTCTCTTTTCTTTCCACCACTCGAAACATCCAACGTCTTCCACCTTCCCATCTCTCCCCACTTATAACTTTGGTTCCACTCACACTTCCACCTGAACACCACCTGCCTCAGCATGCAGAGGCCACCATCGACATCCGCACCCATGATATGCAACACCTCAAGAAGGCCTTCGACGGTCTTCAACACCAGCTCACTCGCTTTCTCCAGGACAATTCTCCGGACTGGATTATTTATGATTTCGCTCCCTACTGGTTGCCATCGGTCGCCGCGGGCCTTGGCATCTCACGAGCCTTCTTCTCGATTGTCAACGCATGGTTCCTCGCCTTTTTGGGACGGTCGGCGGAAGAAATGATAAACGATTCGCATGAACGAACAACCGTGGAGGATTTCATGGTGCCACCCAAGTGGGTTCCCTTCCCTACCAAAGTATGCTACCGGAAGCATGAGGTCAAATGGATGCTCGATAGCAGCACTTGTCTAAATGCTTCTGGGGTTTCAGATACGTATCGTTCCGGGATGATCTTTCAGGGGTCTGATTGTGTGTTTATAAGATATTGCTATGAATTTGAACCCCAATGGTTAACCCTTCTAGAGGAGTTGCACCACCTCCCGGTGATTCCCGTGGGATTAATGCCACCGGCAAAGGCCACCGACGTCGGAGATGAGAAAGATGACGCATGGGTGACCATCAAGAAGTGGCTAGACGGTCAACAAAAAGGTCAAGTGGTGTACGTGGCATTAGGAAGTGAGGTTATGCTGAGCAACAGCGAGGTGGGTGAGTTAGCGTTGGGTCTGGAGCTGTCAGGGTTACCCTTCTTTTGGGGTCTGAGAAAGCCAGCAGGTTCCACGTCGGTGGAGTTGCCAGAGGGGTTCTTAGAGCGAACCCATAACCGTGGGATGTTGTGGAAGAGCTGGGTGCCTCAGTTACAGATACTGAGCCATGTGTCGGTGGGCGGTTTCTTGACTCACTGTGGTTGGGGGTCAATTGTGGAAGGGTTAACCTTCGGTCAGCCTCTAATAATGCTTCCATTTCTGGTGGACCAAGGTCTGAATGCCCGAGCACTGGTGGAAAAACAGGTGGGAATGGAGGTCCCAAGAGACGAGAAAGATGGTTCCTTTACCAAGGAGTGGGTGGCGGAGTCGGTGCGTTTGGTGGTGGTGGAAGATGAAGGGAAGATGTACAAGAGAAACTCAATGGAGTTGAGTAAAATATTTGGAGATACGAAGCTACAGAACAAGTATACAGACGACTTTGTAAAGTATTTGGAGAAGCAGAGGATGAGTGTTCCATCGAACGGTTGAGGGCCATAATCTCAAGCATCGGTGTTCATGAAGTTGATGATGAATAAGTTAATCTGAGTTTTATAAATCAACCTTTTAATTGCTGTTTACAGTTTTAAGGTTAAAAGACGGTTGAGGACCTGTTCTGTAAATCTAGGACACGTGTAATGGTGTGCATGAATATATATAGTGATGAGTCAGAAAAAAAAAATGATGCGTCGTACACGATAATATTTAAACGTGTTATAATAAATGTATAGAATGTTTTAAGCATTTTAAGTATTCTTTAAGACAATTTTAAAATAAAATGTCTTATTAACAAGTTTGTGTAATACTTTTGAGATTGTCTTGTGAACATATTTTTTATAGGTAATATAACAACCTATCTTCTTTGTAACATTTCTATCGGAAATTTGGCATATGACCTATTTGTAATGTCGTCATATACCTCTGAATTTATAGATTTTGTATGTTCACGTCTCATGATATCCCAAATCAAAAGCAGCACTAGCACTGCGTACATCAACTACTTAAAAACCAACATATAATATGTTGATATAAAATCTATCGAATGCTATCTTGAACTAATCTTCAGTCCCAACAGTTAGGTAGTAAAAATACTATATTAATCTATTAGCCTCAATCATCATATTTGTGAATAATACAACTAGCATTCAATTCAACACTTAGAAAAAATTCTTATTATTTGCCTTGTAATGCTCATATCCGATACACAACATTAATCGGATATGACACATGTCGATTAACATCAGAACCTTATAAATTTGATGAGTTCAAAAGCTTCGGATCTTAGACGCTATTGGATCCATAGTTTAAATGAAAATGTGAGATCAAATCGATTTGATTATTCTCCATCTGAATGGAAGAATCCGATTGACCTATGTGCGTGGTCACTCAATCTTGATTTTCAAGAACCCACGTTTTATTCTAAGTCACTCAATTCGATTTTTCTAACTTCATAATTATTTTATAGTTGAAATCCAATCTATAGCTTAAATTTTGAAATATAAGAGATAAGATTTTTCTTTGTAAAAGTCTTGTAACTATCAACGAATAGCTTTTAACAAAATCCAATACTAGTTAAAATGAGGTTAAGTTCCTCATTAAAGCGGATTAGTTTGTCATCTAACCGAAAAAAAGATCAATACAAGATAAAGTCAAATAGTAGTCTGACAAACACTACTATTGACAGACCGGATTTTGGAGTGCAAAATTGTCCTCCAAGTGTGGCTCACCAACTCTACCAGCTCGTCCTGATATGAGAACATGCTTAACATGTTTGCCAAAATAAGTTCTAAAAAACTATTTTATTGGTGTCATACTTTCTTTAGTATTCCCTCTGCATACAAAAGGATATGATAGGTTAACAAATGTCTACATCAATCATAAAAAGCTAAATTAAAGAGTACAAACATGCATGGATCAACAAATCAGATGAAGACACACGTTAAAGTTAGATAGTAGCATTTAATGTAATCGTGGCTATAAAAGGTCACCCTTGTCATTTATAGTTATTCACACATTTTGAAAGAACTTCTGAGTGATAGTTTCTTAGGCAAAATCGGTGTCATTCTGTGAATACTATCTTAGTTCTTTAGATCTGAAAAAAAAAAGTATCTCCTTATATCACTCTTTTCAACTATGAGTAAATTTGTCACCAATTAGATTGTTTAAGATCACCGGTCTTACATTCCCAGATTCCACGACAGATCTGTAATTCTTTGTTCTATTCCAAAATATAGAATTAAAAATGAACAATTTGTGGTGTTTGTATTCGACCCCCCTTCTACAGACACATCGATCATGTGTAAGTCATTATATCCCAAGACCAATATGACACAATAGTATTAACTATCAATGGTTACATTCACTACCACAATCAATAATACCATCTAATCTTGATCTTGGGATAGACGTCGACAAAGAAAATAAATCATGCTTTATGCTCAATGAGTTCAGAGGTTTATAATATAAAATATTACGTCTAAATCAAACTGATTCATAATTCCATAAGAATGCAAGATTTGTAAACATTAGCAATATGCAAACGAACACTTTACATTTTGCCGCAATCAATAAAAAATGTTAAGTTGCCTAACTAGATAAAGTAATATGTTCGTATCTAGTTAAATTATTGTTCGGTTATTGAACTGAATAAACGGTCTGAATGATAAAATTGACTATTTTACACTTTGGTTTACATCAAACATCTTTTGTAGATCAAATTTTACAGCAAAGTATAAATTACACAAATTTTGATTTTGGGTTGTCCTTTTACTGGGCCAAGCATGCTAAGTTGTCTCCAGAACTTGAATCATGTATTCGATAGGCTGAATGAGGTTGTTATATTTATCAGATCAAATCATACATTAAAAATAGCATGTTATCTGAAAGAAAACAATGCAATCGAACCTGATAAGTACTCCAAAAACAATTAAACTCCCTGTAAGAAAAACGACAAATCCAAACACAATATTTTCAACCAGAATGAGAAGTATGATTCGAATTATCCAAAACAATCTTCTTATCCTCAGGTTATTGTCACAGGTCCTAAATCTTCCTGGCCTCTCGAACTCATGGCCAAAAAACTCGGCCTTGAAAGCTTCTTTTTGTTGTTGCTATCAAGTTATTTCTCGGGTGTTGTCAACGAACTTCTCCTATCTACTCTGTAGGGTTTCATGGTACATATTATATGCTTTGTATCTATGTATTTCAATCTAATAATTTTAAAATGGGAAAATTGCACCAAAATGGAACCAACTTTCACCTGATTTCTATTTTGGGGAACCAACTTTCAAAATTATCATTTTGGGGAACCAACTTTCACTTGAGTTTTATTTTGAGGAACTAACTTTCACCTTATTCCTATTTTGGGGAACCAACTTTCAAAATCGTCATTTTGGGGAACCAACTTGGACCTGATTCCTATTTTGGGGAACCAACTTTCAAAATCGTCATTTTGGGGAACCAACTTGGATCTGATTTCTATTTTGGGGAACCAACTTTCAAAATAGTCATTTTAGGGAACCAACTTGCATTTGATTCCTATTTTGGGAAACCAACTTGCAAAATAATTATAGAAAAATAACTAAAATTCATTTCTTTTCAAAAATTAATGCAATAAAATCTATTTTTCATTTCAAATCTCGTTTTTTAAAATTCAGATATCAAATTGAAGATTTTCGAAAAAAATTCAAATTACCACGATAAAAATTGTTTTTTTCTAATGCAATAAAAAATTCAATTTAATAGAAAAAAATTAATTGATGCAATAAAAAATAAATATTAAATATCACATTCAAGATTTTTATATCTAACCAATTTGTGTCAATATTAAAGTTTAAATCAAATTTGGCAAATCCAACCAAAAGTTTGATAGAGACCCTTAAATTATCTGTTACATGTTCAACAGATCAATCAGACCCTTAAATAAACAAAAAGTTCGATAGAGACCCCTAAATGACGATTTTAAAAGTTTGGTTCCCCAAAATAGGAATCAGGTGAAAGTTGGTTCCATTTTGGTGTAATTTTCCCATTTTTCTATAATTATTTTTCAAGTTGGTTCCCCAAAATAGGAATTAGGTGCAAGTTGGTTCCCCAAAATGACGATTTTGAAAGTTGGTTTCCCAAAATAGGAATCAAGTAAAAGTTTGTTCCCCAAAATGACAATTTTGAAAGTTCGTTCCCCAAAATAGGAATCATGTGAAAGTTGGTTCCATTTTGGTGCAATTTTCCCTTTTAAAATCGTAACTTTGAAACAAATTTAACGATAACATGTTCATAGTCCATACAATAAAGTTGTAATATATCATAAATGCTTAACTAAAAATAGTCTAAAACAAAATAAAGAATGTCATAATTAATCTAAATATACTTCAAAATAAATATAATGACAACATGAAACGTTACGTCATAAAATTTAAAAGAAATTAAAATTAGAAAGTTAATAAATAATAAATAACATATTAAATATTATAAATTATTTAATAATATTATATATATATATATATATATATGTATATGTGTGTGTGTGTGTTTATATGTAGGCTTGGCATCACATGAAACCAACATGTTTTTGTGAGACTCGTAACACCACTTTTTTACACTTGAAACTTCACAGGAAAACGCTGTGAAAGTAACATTCACAGTGTTTTTGCTGTGAATGTTCGGTTTTTTTTTTTTTTTACTTACACAATGTATTGATATGATGTTTCAAGTGTAAAAAAATAATCCCACTGGTCTCATGAAAACAAGCTGAACGTACGTAAATTCGACATTTTGTGTGTGTAGGGGGCAAGTGTTATTTTATCCATTTTCTACTCTCTCTTTTTCATTAGATGTCTGAATTATTTGTTGGCCTAATATTGTAGTCATTATGGGTCATCTATTCTACAACTTTAAATGGGCTAGGCAAATTGGCCAACTGTTTAGGCCCAATCCACCCGCATGCTTTTCAAATTTCTTAAACTTATAAAAAATAGGAACCTATATATATACTAGAAGGGTACTCATATAATGTAACATAATACAACTCTATTTTAATATTTCTTTTTATTTATTTTGTCTTAATCGATGTTATAATATGGTTTTATGTAATTTTCAGAAAACGATAATGGTTTATTTTTGAATAAAATATAATATTAAAAATTGAAAAAAAAATATTGATATTGTTACCTAACTAACTATTTAAAAAATTTCTTTTCTGTGTATTTTTTTATTCATTTTTTTTATTTTTAGTTTAATAATATACTTTTTTATAAAGATAATACTTAAGTATTTTGTTAAAACTCAATGATTATCCTAATTATATTTTAGATTTTTTATATTTAAAATAAAATGTTTATTCTCTATTTGATTATGTTTATCTGCAATTAGTTACACGAATTCAAACATGAAGCTTTAATAAGTTGTACTTAGGCACAATTTACTTGTAATCTTGAATTTTAAGTAATATGCATCAATAAACAGTATTTCATGCATAAAAAATTGTTTTTAAAAGTTTTTGTCAAATGTTTTATAATATAGTATATATATATATATATATATATATATAAAGAGAGAGAGAGAGAGAGAGAGAGAGAGAGAGAAGGGGGCGGGGTCACCAAATGTAAATCACTCATATTTCCACAAACCGTGTAAACTATCATCATTCGTCGATTTTATTGTTTAATCATATGAAATTGTTTCATATAATATTTTTTTATGAAGT